TTTTTAAAGGCAGGCAAGTCTCCGTTTTCGGATAAACATAAAGTAAGTAAGCATCATCCCCCCTGTTTTAATGTAGGTGGTAAAATGTGAGCGAGAAGGCACTGAAGTTGATTGATCCCCTAACAATCTTTCACTTATTGTTACCGAAAAGAGAGAGCAGGAGAGAAGCAGATCTCCATGAGTAGGACCTAAACTCGAATACCAATTTATCATTGTGTCCTATGCGGAAAAAAAGACTAGTGTGGTCCCACATTTTTCTTTGCTTCGCCATTTGGGTTTCTGCGTCGGCAAGTTTGAATCTACTATAGACTGATGTATATACGTAAAAAAAAATAGAAACTTGGAGAAACCGTCTGAATGTCGTCGTATTTTCATTCGAGAGAATCCTGAACCTGAAAGTATCCCCACCGCATCTAAATAGCAGATGAACTATGCTATAAAACTGAACTATGACTGGAAATTCATTTATCCATGATTGGATAGTTACAACTTTGATTTTAGAAGAGTCAGAAGTGATCCATGAATTCAATTGTTTACCAAGAAGCAGGTTGCCGATTGGGAATGTGTTCTAGAAGTTGCCATGGATTCAGTCAAGTCCCTAAATAGTAGGTACTTCACAATATTGCTAGTGAGCCAAAGATATCGCTTAGTCTTGTTTACACGCCTCGTTTCGTCATAGATAAGGTGTACGAGGCAGAAATGGGTATCGTATATGCGCACGTAAGATCTTAAGGAGTAAGAGGGTTATCGGGTCATTAATCATTGAGACAGGAAATTAGGTGAATGGAGTAAGAGATCGAGGTGCAACTCGGGGTTAATGCCGCAAATGATTCATGATTCAAAGTCTTTATCAATACCGTAGGAGTCAGCATCCAATAGGGCCCTTAGAGCGGGAAAGCCAGCTGATTAGGATGGGATTCAGCTCATCCTCTGTTAAGAAATCTATTAACTGAGTGGTGCAATTACATAGATGTTCGAAAAGTAGCTTTTAGCAATTGCCGATCGGGCACAAGAGCAATCTGGAGAATTAGAGGCCCGTCAGTCTGGTCAATGACACTGACAGGCATATTTCAGCCTTCCTTGGGAAACCCAATTTTAGCTAGTTTCTGTCAGTGTCACTGACCGGGAGGCCCACGGGGGAAGGGGGAGAGGTGAGCTCTAGCCCCCTAAACCTCCCTTTCCCAATGCCATTTCTTTCTTCGTTTCTTTGATCCTTTTCTTGGAAATAAGAATATTCGGAGTTACGATTCTTAGGCCCTGAGAACCAAGCGACGATCGAAAAACTGTCCATTAGGCATTTTTCGTCGTTCGACATTTTGACCTCCAAAGTCACCTGGCTTTCAGTTTTTCGGCCTTCCGACTCCAGGACAGCTACATGTTACACGATCTTCTGCTTCATTTGGCATTCAGTTGCAAATATAAGCACGGGCATTCATCTTCAGTTATACAGAGCATTGGCAAGGCCCTATTTAGAGAAGTGTTCGATTTCGTTGACCTGCTAATGAAAAAATTCAATGGCGCTGTAGGGGCTTCAAAGCGGGCATCCAAAATAAGGAAAGGAGAGGTTTATACGAGCGAGGTTACGACGCGTTAGGGCCGCATTCCCCGAAGGTCAGGCCGATGGGGTTTGATTTTACTTAGGCATTTAATATGATCAAGTGCTTTTATAATGTTGGACAACTCGACGGCAAAAGAACGAGGGGAATCCGGGTCCAAGTTGCATTGGCCTCAAGCAATGCTGATGTTGTTGAATTACTTTTTACTTATCACGTGGAACTGGTGGAACGCATTCGCAGAAAATTTATCTTTTCCTTTCCAGAAATTAAAGAGGTAGTTAAATTAAATTAAATTGAAGTAGTAAAATGCAAGAAATAAAGCTGCGAGTAACAAGGCAGTAGATAGACTTACTACATGACCATTAATCTATACCGGTAGGCTTATCATATCAGCAGGGTGAGAGCTGGACTAAGATAACGATACTGGCAGCAGACCTGCATCTTCACATTATACCCAAACCGTGAACCGTGAACCTCGAGTGCACAAGGGTTTGGGCGACCTGACACCACAACCCTTGCTCCTGTACCGATTACGTCATTGTCCCTGGTCTTTGGCTGGAGGATGGCTCACGGAAGTCTGAACCTCGATAACATCATTAACCGACTTCTCGAAGGTGCGTTCTTATGAAAACCCTCCATTTTGGCGTTCCACATTCGTTTTTTCGGCATTCCAACCCGATCAGCATCGGCAAGGTCCCATCTAGAGTATTATGTTCAATTCCGACGGTCTGCAAATACAGGGAATTTCATGGCGCTGCAGAAGACTCCAAGACGGGAATACTTAAATGACTTAAGTGATAAGAAGGTAAGCGGAGCTTTCACACGAGCCGACATTAAACGCGGGGCCGTATTGCCCCAAGAGAAGGTCTACATTTCCTGGAAATAATGTCAACGAAGGGGAATCTTATCCTGGCATATTACATTCCTAAGGGGTTCGAGAAATCGGAGCGTTTTAGGTTTTTCGAACTCGACGGTAAAAGCAGAACGAGTGGGAACCGGTTCTCGTCGCGTATGGTTTAATTATGACTCATGTTGAAGGATGGTTTTTTGGTCAGGTTGTAATATGTATGTGGTATGATATTGGTATCTTGGTATGGGGAGAGCTGGACTTAGAATGTAAATATGGCAGGTATGCCTTTTGACATTTTAACCCCAACTCTCCACCGAGTTCGCAAGGATTGGGGCGATCTGCCCTGCAACACTTGCTCCTGTGCTGATGACATCATCGTCTCTGGTTTTCTGACTGGACAAAAGCTGGCTGACTGAAAGCCTTTTTGAGTTTTTCAGTTGACATCAATGCACGGGTAGAAATGAATATCAGCTGATGGTCTTTTACGCGCAAATTTATGGATGTCGACTAACATAACGATAGATTGCGCAGCAGCCGAAGAAAGTTCCTACCCGGAGGAAAAGCGCGCACCCGAACTCTCATGAAGGGGAGGCTCGTCTCTCCCAAAATATGCGCATGTCCAAAGTCTGAAGCAAACAGAATCTCCAATGCCTGCTGCCTGCTTCCAGGCGGCCATGTCCCACCTTGCAGGGATAGCACACACATATCTGTCCCAGTTTCTTCTTCCCACTATAAATTTAAAAGAAAAATTTCCAGATTAATGTTACTTATGTCTTGCTTAAGCGAAGTAGTGGTAAGTACGATTTAGAGAGAATTAGTGTCGTTTATAAATGAATTAAGTATCTTCATCATCATAAAAATACACTCCTTTCCAGTTTGAGTCCAGTCCCCATAAGTCATAGGCACATAGGCATCCGTATCAAAGTAATAGAAAGCTTATCATTTTTTTTTGCTTTTGAAGACAAAATCGACCCGATAAGGTGCATCCTGATTCATGAAATTCTTCGAAGTCCATCCCAAGTAACACAGCATGTTGATGAAACGTTTCCGAAATGTAGCCTATGTTGCTCTATGTTGCAAGTTGATGTACAGCATTGATAAAAAATTGCTTAAATGTTTTCACTTGGAATGTTGCTGCGACACTTCTACGAATATCATTGCAACATTTCCTATCAACATTGAGAGAATGTTGACACTCTTGACATCGACAACGTAGCGACAACATTCTGATACAACATGGACTTAGAAGTTTTAGAGAATTGTAAAGTTGTCCTCCTTGCCACGAGATGGAGACGTAAGTCTCGCTTTCTCACAGTACACAAAAGTGCCCTTCTCCCTTTCCCTGGAATAGTCCCGCACAGGAATGTCTAGTACCTTGCCATATGTCTCACATTGTCTCATTATAGGAATCAATGAACACGGACACTTCATCACCTGTTATCTTCATTTTCTAGACAGATTAATGGGGTCAAGATAGAAAAAGCTCATATTCCCAAAAAGAACCCTTTCCAAGAACGGGACAATAAAAACGATGGTAGAGAGTCTGCGATCTCAATACTTCATATCCTCATCCTGGGTACTAGCTGAGGAAACGAAGGATTGATCTCGTGGACACTCCATAGAACATTGCGGTCGGACCTTTTCCTGTATTGTGCAATTTAGCACATCCAGGGGAAGATCACCTCCAAAAATGTACTGTCTCCTGCCTGTACATGATACAGATACTGTATTATGCATGGAGTAGGGGTTATACCAGTACAGGCTTCGTCCTGTTGATGAGAATGTACGAAAGGATGAAATAAATAATTCAATATTGGTCGAATATCGGTCCAGTTCAGGACCAGTGAAGCCTACGCTTTTCCGTAATGCCAATATAGACCCAGATTAGGTGCCCGTGAAGCAACGTTTTTAATCAACATTGCAGCAACATAAATCCTGAAACGTATCTGCAACGTATATGTAATGAATAAGTATCGATTTGCAACGTAAATGCAATGTTCCTTCGCAACATTTGAGCAACGTTGACGTTTTGGACATTTACACGTAGATGCAACATTGTTCATCAACATTTCCTAAACGTTGCTGGAATATCTTGTGTTACTTGGGATAGGCCCATTGGTTTTGCACAAAGTGATGACAACCACATTTGCCCGCGTCCAGCCATATTGGTAAAAGATGGTGATATAAACAAGCAATTGCAGGTTTAAATGTACGCCGTTCGTGTACTTTGATTCTCCTGAACTCTTGCTTTGTCTGATTTTTGGAGTTCAAAACTGATCGTGACGCTCTCCTCGCATTCCTCATCCTTCCCTCCTCCAGAGGCGTTCCTGTAAGTACTTGAACTTAATGAATCAATTTGAGAGCAATCACAATTGCAAAGAGGAGTGTTTCCTCCGTGAAGTAACAGCTTCTTATCAAGAGCTGATAAATCAACCAATGACGATAAGGAAGATGTTAACTAATTGTAGATTGGGAGAGAAATAAGTGATAACGACGATGGAATTCATTCCATGTTTTCATGGAAAAAAGCATCAATTGCTGTTGAAATGAAATGTGATCATGTTGTTATCGTCCTTCTTGAATTTTTTTCTTTCATGGCAGTTCGAGGATGCAGACCGGGGACGACAGTGCAGATGACGGAAGCAGAAATTCAAGGACTCTGCCTCGAGGCACGGGATATCTTCTTGAGCCAGCCCATATTGCTAGAATTGGAAGCCCCTCTTATAATATGCGGTAGGTTGAAAGTCAAACTCAAGTTGCACGGGTGCTCAATTATCAAGAGTTCTGGATTCCTTGGGAGGAAGTGTTGTTTCGATTGCCTTCAAAGGCTTGCAGTCTCCTATTTTTGTTATTTTATCGCATATGGTGAACTGGGCAAATTCTCTTTTTGCCTGAATTGTATTTCCTAGTGAATTGAAAAACTTTCTCACCCATTGCATAATTTCATTCAAATTTCCTTGTATCGTCCAAGCGACATTATTTTCGTTTGGGTTAACTACAGGGAAGAACCACAAATAGAATATCATAGTTCAACGTGTGGCATTTCAAAATAAGGTTTAAGTCCCACTGAAAGGGATTCTTGGTCAATTATAGGTGCACATGCTTTTCAATGCAACCTTCATTTATACAGGGTGGGCCAAAAGAATGGTTACACCTAGAGTTCCATGTTAAAACAACTGCAATAAACAACAATAACAATATATATTAAAACAACAATATATTGAAATAGCAAAATCCAAAGTAAATTTTCAAATACGTTACCATCACATTTTAAACATTTTCCCACACGGACATCTCTTATATATACATTATTATTATACAAAAGTTGTTGTTAAGTGTAACCTTGCTTTTGGTTCACCTTGTATATTGCGTTTTAAATGGCAAATTGACGGCTTCATTAGGAATTCGCTAGGATTATCCGTGCGCAACCCTTAAAGGAGCCCTCTGTAACCGCAAGCTTTCTTTGCAAATATTGATTTTCGTATTGTACTCATATCGAACTTCCAGACCTTGAAAACCTCGGAGAATATGTATCGATGCATCCACCGCATCGTAGACCGAACTTATCTTGAGTGTTCGATAACGCTGCCCCAGCTTCAGGACCCGACCGGAGAGAGCTCGAACTCTTCCTCAATCGATTGATCAAAATCAGAAATTGCTTGAAATCGTTTATATGCATGGGAACAGAGCGGCGATTCGACTTACTATCACCGTTTTTTCATGCAAATATATTTCTTGAAACTTTTCAGCATTTACTTTGCATCAGGAACAAGCAGGAACTGAGCTTGGTTTCCGCTATTCCATAATATTCCGGTTTCTCTTGAAACAATTTTTTAAAATGTTTTGAGCATATCTTGACGCCTTTTCGGAGGATATTCTCAGGTCGGCGGCATCTAACCATCTTTTCCCTACAATAATTCCTTGAATAACAATTAAAGGAGTTTGTTCCTTGTAGAAACTTAGCACAAAAGCATTCTTGAAGCATGATTGAAGATGTCAGAATTGAAAAATACGCTTCTGGAGTTTCGCACTGCACTTTATTAATAGAAATGAGTGCCATTGGAAGCTTATTCCTTGAAGTAAACCAATGAGAGTCGAGGTCAACAAACTCAAAATATTGAGTATACTAATGTTCAGCAGGTGAGCCGAAAAAAGCAAGGTATATTGTCATACTTATTTTACTCTATCGCCTGAGCCCAACTTGCTCTGAAATCGGAATAGGCCTTTAGTGACTTTCAGAGGTAACAATCTGTATTGACCGCCCTGTATAGCAACCGGAGGTCCCTTGTCGATTTAATGTCCATATCTTGTTCACAGGTGACATTCATGGCCAATACACGGACTTGCTTCGGCTTTTTGAAATTGGAGGTTTCCCTCGCAAGGCGAACTATATTTTCCTGGGTAATTATGTGGATCACGGGAAGCAGTCATTGGAGACCATCTGTCTGCTCTTGGCATATAAGATCAAGTATCCGAAGAATTTCTTTCTCCTCAGGGGGAACCATGAATGTGCCAGCATGAACAGAATTCATGGCTTTTACGATGAGTGTGAGTTTCGGGATTTGGTTCATGACACCGAAGCATTTATGACCGAAAGAAGATGAGGCCGGAAGTAGACATAGCTGACAAACGGTCGAAAGTGGAAACATGAAAAAAAACTTTTGACTTTTTTATTATATCAATAGTCAGTTAGGCATTCAAGACCTCAGTCCACAGTATCTTCGTGTGCTCCCGCGTGCGTGTTTGTGAATGAGGTTGCAGTCAGATTTAAAAAAAAAATAAGGAAGAAGGAGAAATGAAGAAAGACTTGGAAAATGCTACAAAATGAGCTAAGCATAAAGTGACTTGAATAAGAGAAAAACAGGTCATGTGATGACCTCTCTCGGGTCCTTTCCCCCCATCAATTCTCGATTCCCGAATACTAGTATTTCGCAGTTCTCTTTCAGCACGTTCGCTGTCCTATTCATTCAACCAGTTCAGATTTTGATCATAATTTGCCTTCGGCGAAGCGAACGCCACTAGAGTTGTTGTTCATAAACCCACTTGTTGAACCCCATGAGAACGGTGACAATTGAAAGAGAAGGCTCAATCCCTGCAGGCAAAAGGAGGTACAACATTAAAATCTGGAAGATGTTTACGGACTGTTTCAACTGCCTCCCCGTTGCGGCCATCGTAGATGAAAAAATCTTCTGCTGCCACGGAGGGCTCAGCCCTGATCTCCAGTCCATGGAGCAAATCCGTCGTATCATGAGGCCCATTGAAGTTCCTGATACAGGTTAGATCTAAGAGCTTGTGAATCTGAAAATTCTGATAATGGGAATCTCTCAAAGTACCTTAACGAACCTATGTCAGTACTGGTCATGCAGAACATCTATCTCTTCTTCACTTGAGTGATCCAGAGATTTTAAAAACTTGTTTGCTTGGTGGTTCCTGAACGATATCAAGGGGGTGTATGTTCCAGGCCTTTTGTGCGATCTCCTCTGGTCGAACCCTGACAAAGATGTCCAAGGGTGGGGAGAGAATACTAGTATAGAAGATGGTGATGAAAGTGTGTCCTTCACATTTGGCCCTGATGTTGTGACAAAGTTCCTCAACAGACACGATCTAGATCTCATCTGCCGATCCCATCAGGTGTGTCTCACTTCTCCATTCAGCCGCATGCTTACGACTCACACACCTGATTTCAACTAGGTTTACAATCGTGTGGTCTGATAATCTTCTTAGGTGGTTGAAGGTGGATACGAGTTTTTTGCCAAGCGTCAGTTGGTCACACTCTTTTCTGCTCCGAATTACCGCAAAAAATATGATAATGCTGCAAGCATGATGTCCGTCGATGAGACTCTCCTGTGCTCCTTCCAAGTAAGTTTTCCAAAGTTATCACTCTGTTAAATCCTCCTTGGATTATGTGCTGAAATTTCACTGGAGAAGCTATATTTACTCTCCTTTTAATAGATCCTTAAATCCATCAGAGAAGAAAGCCAAACATCAATACAGTAGTATGATGAGGGGGGGATAGTCATTGACCCCCCCCCCCTCCTACCTGCTCCATCTGTCCCAACTAAGGGAAAGAAACAAGTTGTGACTCAAGTTGGCCGTCTTCATTTTAGCTTTTGCATTTTGTCTTTGAATTGGACTTATCAAGAGGGATGTGGGAAAAAGTAAGATTTCTACCCCTTTTACAGATCTGGAAGCCATCAGAAAGAAACGCTGAGGATGAAACAACCACCTTGAAGCCATGCGAGAAGAAAGTCGTGGGAGAAATGTCCTCCTTGAAGCTATCAGAGAAGAAAACCGGAGGAGAAGGATCCCCATGAAAGTTTACTTAGAGGATTTATCCAGTTTTAAGCCATCAGGAAAAAAATACTGCGCCACCAATTGACAATGCCGGCATGACCAGCGATTTCACATTTTCTGTCTGCCCCAAGTAAGAGAAGTCAATGATATACGTGTCGTTCATGGTGTTGGAGAGACTTCCCATCATCGGTTTCTCACCTCGTTCATCGAGCAATCCTCGAACAAAATTCCGTTGCACATTCCATATGGTGAGTGAGTGAACGAAATAATGTTAAGGTATTTTGCCGTTCTTTTTGCCTGGCGACGCGAATGAGTTCTTCATATCATGTCTCTCGAGTTTGCATATAAATTTCTTCGTCGTTGTTATGGAAAATTCATTCCCCGCATTTCACAGAAACTAAATCCATCCAAGAAGAAAACGAAATGCTGCGACGATGAGCGACTCCTCACGTCTGTCTCAACAGTCTGGCTCAGTCTGTCTGTCTGTCTCTCATACTCAGGTTAGACAAGCCTGCCTTTCATATGTAAGCATCTAGACACCCAGGGACTTACTGGAGTAAGTATAGCTATTAAGAACCTCGAGTAGGAGCGATTAAATTATATAAGCTATTCATAGTGATTATTCAAGCTGGTGTGATGTGAGCTCTAGGCTTATAAAACGACTAAAAACATTTTCCATGTAAAATATGCATCGGCAACCACAGAAAATTTATTTTACAGCTCTGTGTTTGTGTCTATTTGTCCGAGGATCTGTTAGCGATCTTGCAAACACTTGACTATTGAGTTGCAAAATCTTAAACATGCATTCTTTATCATGCGAGGATTTGTCCTGCTGAAAGGGTCCAACCGCGTCCACTGACGTCATGGGTGCCGCAAAAATTCATTACAGCTAGAAAAATAAAATTGCTCATGAGGCTAGACCCAATCACTGCTAGAGGTGAGGAGTTATATGTAAAAACTGCCATAAAGTGAAAGGCAGCCATCTGGCAATTCCTCAAATAAACAACGTTCTCACAATCGAAGAGAGATGGCGCATTAACGGCAGCAGCGGATTATCCCATTTGCTTAATTTTATTTTTAATGGAGGCAGAAATTCTCCACCTCCCCGTTTCCATTAGAAACTGCAACGGATTTTCATTTAAACAATTAAAAAAATACTTCAAGGTTTATAATTAGTTTTATAATTAATTTTTGGCTTAGAGCTCGTGACCCAATAAGGTTAGAAAATTTTTGTTCTGCTAGTCGAGATCTGACACGGGTGGCGTGCGTGAAAGCGATCGGACTTGATCGAGATCCGCAATAGGGTTTTGGGCATATGCCAAATGTTTGAATTTGTTCGAACTTGACTGGGAGGATTTTCGGCTCGACTTCACTTTGAAATTCTGGCAACCCTGACGCCAATAAGGCGTCGCGCATCTCTAGGGCGCTAGAGCATCGTTAAATGCCGATCCGGAAACGCGATAACGGCCGAAAGACGAAAGACAATGTCGTTTGAGTGACGTGCAGAATCTGAACAATGCGAAAGACAATGTGCGACAAAGTCAAGCGGACAGCCACGAAGCCGACCATGACTTCCCGATCAAAACCGGCCCTGAAACTTCGAAAGATGTGTGAATCAGGAGTGAATCTCCTGTGAGAAGAGTGTGAAGAAGCGAGCCACACGTGCTTCATAGTTCCATGGTGTAGGTGCACCGACTGAGAGTCGGCAAAAAATAGATTTTGTCTCCCCGAGAATTCGTTTTTTTTTTTTTTTGCTTTCGGACAAATTCAGAAGAAATTCCTTGGCTCATTCAACAGCCCCCGCCCCCTCCCCCCTCAACCCCCGGGCCAAGCGGGATTGCAGGGGCTCTTCAAACCGAGGGGAATGGGAGAACGGCGGCTAATCCTCTTTAATCCTGGGGGGGATGAAAATATGAAAATATTACGTTGTTTGCCCCATAAACCTGAGGAAACGTCGTGCACCCTCGTTCCGGCGTGTAAATCCGTTCCTTTCGGGATTCAGGTGTAGAGATCCCAAGTAACACAGTATATTGATGAAACGTTTTCGTAATGTTGCCTATGTTGCTCTATGTTGCAAGTTGCTGTACAACATTNCTACGCTTTTCCGTAATGCCAATATAGACCCAGATTAGGTGCCCGTGAAGCAACGTTTTTAATCAACATTGCAGCAACATAAATCCTGAAACGTATCTGCAACGTGTATGTAATGAATAAGTAGCGATTTGCAACGTAAATGCAATGTTCCTTCGCAACATTTGAGCAACGTTGACGTTTTGGACATTTACACATAGATGCAACATTGTTCATCAACATTTCCTAAACGTTGCTGGAATATCTTGTGTTACTTGGGCGAACACGAGATGCATCTCATCCAGATGGAAGACACGTGAACCACGTGGGCAGCACCTGCGCTCGCAATGAGCACAGTCCACAATTCTCTTTTTTTTATATTTTCCCCGAAATTTCATTCCCGGGAATTTCGTTCTCACGTACCGAAAGGTACTTTCGCAGTGTCGCCTTCTCGCCAAATAGCACTCTCGTCCCAACGCGAAACGAGGTTAGCACCAGGTCCGGCATACCGCGGAATGTGCCATTCGAGACGTCTGAATCCATTACAGCGAGAGAGACCCAACCCAAATGGCACGCAGAAAAAAAATTGGAGCGGATCCTGCCAGCTAGCAACAAACATACGAGGCACCTCTCGCATTCAGACTTCTTTTTTCCACGGAGTTCTTGCTTCTGTCGAAGCAGTGAAATGCATAGGTGAAAGTGGTGTAAGAGAAAACTGCAGCTTTCCAAAAGGAAGTTCAGTTTGCTCTTAGGAATCGATTACATAGGATGACGTGGTTCTTTATCTTTTATATACCATATATAGGTATATAGCAGATAGACAGGGAGTGCGTGTGGACAGCGTGCAGACTATGAACTTTGACATGTCTTCGTCAGCTGTTTGAATGGACGCAGCTTCATCAGTTGCTAGCCGCAGGCTGAAGACCTGCTTGGGTGTCGCGTGCCACTAGTACCATATGTCCATTGACAATGAACTACGGGGGAGAATTTTTCACGCACATCTCTGTACGCCCTCATACATATAGAACGTCAGGCATATCTGGGGTAATCATAGTGTCAGTTACGATAAAAATCATTTGGTGTCATTCGAGCTTTACTATTTAATTGTTCGGCAGAGCATGCTTCAGAATCTGTAGGCCGACCCTATTTATAATTAGTGTCCAGTCTGATATTTTTAGTCATTGACCATCACAGCCTATGGTTTGTAAAATCGTCGGACAGTTTCGGTTTAGCACAAACGTGAAAAGAGCTGATGAACACGTGTCGTTAACGTGTGATGTTAGTGACAATAGTGCTCAGCTCTCAGCGCTAACCGCAATTTCATACCCCCCCCCCTCCCCACATTTCTGATGTGGGGAGGATGATCCTGCGGTTAGCGTCTCCTTATTGTGGGTCGCTGGCGGTCATTTAGCCTGACTGCCGGTCGAGGTTAAACGGTTCAAGGTAACTTTTCAGGGACCAGGTGGAGACCATTCTAATAATTGAATTCCAATGGCATTAAGTTGATTATAATATAAATTGCCATTTCGATTGAATCGATTCTAATAGAATTGCTATTTCGATTGAATTCAATTGGCATTGTACTGATTCCAATAGAATTGCAATGCCGATTGAATTCCAATGGTAACATCTGGTCTCAGGGACGGGTGACGAGATCGATGGCCGACACAATGCGATCTTCTCTTTGCAGAAGAACCTGAAATATGAATGTGAGGGCATGATTAGTGGTCGGTTGAGAAATTCCCCTGTTCCGTGACATGTCCTCGATGAGGGAGGCATTGTGGCGCTTGATTGACTTCGGTGGGGGGATGAGTGATTCTCGTGGCATGAGTGATTCTCATGAGGGATTCTCATGGCGTGTCTTCGGTCGATTCCCTCCCCCTTTTTTTCTGGGGTGTCATCACCTGGCCTTTTCTCAGGGGAAGGCTTTCATTCATCATCCGACGCTGATTTCCTGGCCTGTATTCTCCGTGCAGCATTTTGCGACGGGGTTCTTTGTTCCCTCGTAGAAGGAAATGCCGGTTTCTGCTGAAAAGAACCTTCGGGCAAAATCGGCATGCGTTTGATCTCATCCTTAGGACTATTCATTCCGGGGGAATGGCTTTAATTTAATCAAGTTTCCTCTCCGTTTGCTGCTCAGTGGTGCCCGGTCTTGAGAGAAGAAAACTTCCGGTTTCTTAATTAAAAGAGTCGGAGACAGGTCAGGAACTCTTCAATCTCGTTCCACCTTTTCCTGTTTTTTTTTTTATTCTTCTTATTTTTATTTATTTATTATTATTATAAATATTTCTAGACAGAGAGAAATCCGGAGGTTTTCTGCGTCATTTGTCATAGACATTTATCGAAATGCATCCCAGTTTTCCCCAGCCATCTCCACCGATATTCGTGCAAAAAAATTCTTTTGAGTAAAGAGGCCCTGCCCTCATTTATATCAATCAGAGGAAAGAGGTCTCTCCAACGAACCATACTCTCATTTTCCCCTGAGCAATTGAAAAGCCATTTTTATCGATTGTCACAACAGAGTGCTCTTCCCCGGAATTCCCCCGGGAATTCCCCCTGGAACGGGATTATACCAGGAAGTTAACATCGGCGAACGCCTAACGATTTTGGAGAAGAAAGTTTGCGCGAGATGGAGTTTTCCTCCCGTGGGACCACGTGCTAATTAGTCTTTTGCAATTAATTGATTAAGCTCCGCAAGCCAAAAAAAAGCCACGATCGAAGGAGTTCTAACAGCTGCCATAATGAAGCCGTGTGAAGGGCCATTACTTCCTCATTTAGCCGGTACGCTGAAGTGTGCTTAATGAGAAAACTTGAAATTTCTCAATTTTGCAACCTGAAAACCAAGAAGCGAGAACAGTGGCATCTCTCGATGCCAATTTTTAGCATCAGAGTGGACTTGGCAGAGCTAGGTTTGGAAAGCACTAAGATAGTTTGAATCAGCTTTCATCCAATTATGAGGAATTACTTAGCGAGTATGAATTAAGGTAATTTGCTCACGTCCCTGCTGCATCAGGTCCTCATTCGAGGACCTCGAGCCCCTGTGAAGGTCCTCCTCCTTTCCCCCCTCCCCTCCACCTTTTCTTCCACCAAGACTCCTCGTTCATATGTCATTTTGCTCGCGTTCGCCGTTGATCCTGCAGTCGGGGAAAGAGAGCTGCTCGAGACCTCCTCCCCTTCCTCATCGGTAGCAGTCCTTGCATCCCCAAATGACGCATCGTTAAAGCGAGATTCTCAAACGGATTGCTACGTGACTTCTCACCTCGGGCTGCTCCCGTTCCTTTTCTCTGCTGCTTCCATGACGTC